ATTAAGAAAAAGGTAAAAAATAGCGGTAGGAACTTCAGTGACTTTAACACGTAACAGCCAATGGTTAAAATGAAACTTAGTAAGAGAATTTAGCCTAGGTTGATGATATAGTCCGGTGGGCCGTGGCGAATTATTAAGCTATCAAGGAGCTGAAACACATTATAACCTTTTTTTGCACTATTCTAGCTCCGCTAACCCATAGGGGGGAATTAAAAGGGCATTTGCCTTTTCTTTAAGAAAAGATAAAAAAAAGAGAAGCAGCAACAGCAGCTAACAATTGTTAGACGACAAGGTTAGCAAGACGCTGATATAATCGCTGAAACTAGAAGAAATGTAAAAAGAAAGTTAGTAAGAAATTTCTCTCTAATAGTGTGAGAATTAACGCATCTTTTGGCTCCTTTTTTATTCACCTTTCCTCTATTCACTTTCCATTATTTTAAAGGGTGGACAGAATTTTAGTCCGAATAATTTGCTACGGCGTTAACCACACCCAGAAGTGGAATTCAGTCTGGATGTAATAATCCAACCAATTAACGCAATAATCGCGAAATCTTCAGATTTAGGCCTTTTATTATACCTTCTATTTGCCGTTGTACCTAGTATTGAATGTGGTGTATTATCTGATATTGTGTCAAATGTCGTACCTAAACATATGAAGCCTTTAAGTGATGATGAATTAGGATATTATCTTGCAGGATACTTCGATGGTAATGGGTACGGTATCATAGGGCCGGGGATATTCCAAATAAATTTCAAGGACAGATTTCTAGCCTATAGTTTGCTGGAAAGACTTGGTTTCGGAACTGTGACTTTCGTTGGAGGTAGAAAAGGATATGTTTACAGTGTACGTGATAAAAAAAGTATCTTAATAATTCTTAGCCTGATAAACGGAAAGATTAGAACAGAATCTAGATTTAATCAAATAGTTGATCTATTAGCTATGCCAACATACAAAAAAGAAAATATTAATTTTACAATGGACACTAGTGATGATTTAAACAACTATTGATTTGCAGGGTTCTTAGATGCAGTCGGATATTTTCGTATAATAGTCTGCCATGGTGAGAGAAATACACCGTCAGCAGGATTAAGATTATGTATTACACAGAATAATGATTTTATCTTAAAATTAATCCAAAAATGATTTGGTGGCAGTTTGAGAGCAAGAAAAAAACATTACACTTTAGAATTCATTAGCTTAAAATGCGCTAAATTGTTAATACTACAATTAGATAAATATCAGATGCAATCCCTGAAATATCTGAGCTATTTAAGATGAAGAAAGGCTTATCTCCTAATGCGAGACAAAAATCACCATAGTAAGATAGGGTTTAAAAAATTATTGTATATTAAATCTATTATGAATAAAGACAATGGCAAAGATGAAGATAAAGACTCTTAGGAGATTTTTAAGAGGTTAAGGTTAAAGTCTGACAGATTCAGCGAAAATGCCGAAAATGGGACAATATAAGCTTCTTTAAAAAAATTCCTAATATGCTGGAACGCCTAATATTTAGATAATCAGCAGGTAGTAAGACTTCGACTACGTCGAAAAATTGTCACCTCAGAGACTTTACATGAATAAGTTGTATAAAAAAATATAGCTTAAGATATAGTCCGAACAAAGATCTAGCAGTCTTTAAGATTAATGACGGCGTGCTGCTCACCGACCCTTCTGCCTATTCATTCATTTTTTTTATCTTTTGCTCTCACCCCCCCCCACAGGGGGGGGGGGGAAGAAGGATGCAAAAGCAAAAAAAAAGGAGGCTTAGCTAGAAAGAGAGTTAAAAGACCTGCGAAGACGGGGAGTGTTACACGTAGAACCATTAATAAACAATGTTATATTCTGATCATTCCAGCTTTTGGTATCATTAGTACCACAATTTCCGCTAATTCTAGCAAACCCGTGTTCGGTACTCTAGGTATGGCATATGCTATGTTCTCAATTGGAATTTTAGGATTCATAGTTTGAAGTTACGATGTGGCTTCCCTCTATAGTGATATAGAGAATTTAATATATTTTACGATTCGCTTAAACAGCTTTATAATTATCATCTGAATGGAAACGTGTCGGATAGTTAGCTTTAGCCAATTTGCGGACTATGTGTTTTTGTTCTACAATTTCGTGAATAAACACCGTGTTTCAAAGACTATGTGTAAAACATCTTTTAATTCTTTCCCGCTTTACACAAAAAAAAAGAGCTCCCTTGAGAAATGAACTTCAATACATACTCTTGTGTCGAATAAATTACATTTAACACGCGAGGGTTTAGATCAAGTACGATCATTAAAAGATCAAATAAATCCAGATTAAAAAAATAAGACTTTGCTGCGAAGATTAAAAGATGAAGAAATAGTCTATGTTTCTTGAGAGAGAAACTATTTATGCACCATATGTACACCGTGGGCCTAGACGTTGATACGAGAGCTTACTTCACGGCTGCTACTTTGGTTATTGCCGTTCCCTTAACAATGATTAAGTTGGGGGCCTACATTACAAATAGTGTAGTGAAAAACTTGGCGAATTGCAGAGATAGATGTCTTATTCTTATCTGCAGGCTAACTTTACTAATATCATTTAGTATCTAGCTTCAACGATCATGCGCCTGGTACCCTCTTACATTCAGGGTAGTGATATGATCTGATAATTCTCGGTTAGGGATCGGATTATTCCTTTACTTTCCGTTAATTTATTGCAGGTATTAAAATCTTCTCTTGACTGGCAACAGTTTACGGAGGATCTATTAAACTAACTCCATCAATGTTGTTTACACTAGGATTCGTCTTTATGTTTACACTCGGAGGATTAAGTGGAATTATTTTAGCCAACGCTTCTCTCGATATAGCGTTCCATGACACGTACTTCGTGGTCGCTCATTTTCACTACGTGCTTAGCCTTGGGGCTGTATTCGCTATGTTTGCTTCCTGGTATCACTGAATTCCGAAAATACTTGGAACTAATTATAATTTCAGATTAGCTAAAATTCAATTCTGATTATTTTTCATCGGTGTTAACATCACCTTTTTACCTCAACACTTCTTAGGTCAAGTAGGCCCTTTTATAACAACCCCTTATAATTTTGTAAGTCACTCATTGCTGGAATAACCTTTTCTCTGGTTAATCAGCAGGATACCCACATGGATACACAGTTATCTAGTTGGATCTTCAGTGACTATAATTGACTGATTCTTAGTTAATAAGATCGAGAGATAGTCCATTCTAATATAGCAATATATTAAATGAAGTATTATTTTCATATATCACTAAGCTGCTGGAGCTTATTTTTATCTTGTTAAATAGCAACTTAAGCTATTTATTTTTCAGTGTTACGGGCAATAATAAATCTTCTAATGAGCCCTCAGAACCTAATGCTGAACCTCATAATGAACCTAATAATGAACCTAAAAAAGACTTAGTCCGACTAAAGCCTATCTTACCGTCTACCTATGTTAAAGTTTACGAGAATGCTAAAGAATCCAAGGCTGAAATACTTAAAACATACCAGGATAAAACAATTATTTACATGTGATTTAATACAATTACGGGTAAAGTTTATGTCGGAAGCGGTATAAATGGTTATAAACGTTTACGTTGTTACTATCAACTTTCCGTTTTAAATCAAAACACTGTAATTTACAAAAGTATATTAAAGTATGGCCATGAGAATTTTAGTCTTATCATCTTAGAAATTTGCGGAGATACAAATGCAGTTAGTAAAGAGAGTTATCTTAAGAGAGAACAATTCTATATAGATTGAGCCTTTCAAATATACGTTGATAAAGTTTACAATATTCTAACTGTAGCAGGTTCGAGTTTAGGTTATCAACACAACGCGGAATCTCTTGCAATAATGAGTGAAATAAAATCTAAAGAGAAAAATCCTATGTACGGTAAACCTAAATCAGCTGAATTTATGTATCATGCAACTAAGAATAGAGATGGTGCAAATAATCCTATGTTCGGTAAAACAAAGTCGGAGGAAACTTTAGACAAAACCAGAAAAATGATCTATGTTTACGATGTAAAGGACAATTACACGTTATTAGGTATTTATCCCACAGTAGTCTGCCTTAAAAAATACAAATTATCATCTGATACTTTAACTGCTAGATTAGATCAGGGTATGATTCACAATAAGAAGTATTTCTTTAGTCGAGAACCCATAGAAGATTAAATTCACGAAAGGTTAATTACATATATGAAGTTTAATACTAAAATTGAAGCTACAGGGTCTTCCACGTAGAGTCAGTGATTATCCCGATGCATTTGCAGGATGAAATTGAATAAGCAGTATCGGTTCTATTATTAGTATAGTATCAACAGGATTGTTCTTATACATAGTGTACAATCAACTTGTTAGTGGACAAATATCAAGTCGTAACCCATGGTTAACACCAGGTTTCTTTAGCGATGTATTGCAGATATATCTAAATCGAAGTTATGTTAGCCTAGAGTGAGGTCTGTCTAGCCCACCAAAACCACATTCATTTGTGAGTTTACCACTGCAATCTAATCTTTTAGATTTAAAAAAGCAGAATCTATGTCTCTAGCCTCAGATGTTGATAGTACCTGATTGACATCTACTGAGATATGGGAATCTTTAGCTCTCTTTAATATGTTACAATGAATTATTTTATATTTGCTGTACACATTAGCACAACAATTTATCTTCTCTAAATTGGCTGAAAACAAAGATATTCAAACATGAATAACAATCTGACTTAATAAAATATTCCCCGCACGTATAGCAGTGTGAGTCTCTAAATGAATCGAAAAGTTAAGCCTTATGGCAGGAAAGAATATAACGGTTTTCTTATTGATAACTTGAATCATGATATTCTTCTTTACGGGCTTTTTAATATATTATTTCAATTGATTCATATTAAACTTTGAGCCAATATGTGAGACCATTGTAGAGGAAAAATACAAGGTGTTGTTTGAGGGGCTAGAGTCTAGATAGGTGTACGGACTACCTTAACAAATTAAAAAACAAAAAAAAGCCCTGTTAGCTCAATGGTAGAGTCGAATGCTTCTAACATTTAGATCTTAGTTCGAATCTAAGACAGGGTAGACTTATCGCTATACCTTCATCATTAGGAATAGGATAATGGAGGTAGCCTTAATTTAATAGTAATTCCCCCCCATCCTTCTAATTTATTATAATAAAATGTAGGGGGGGGAATAAGGTTAGAAAGAGCCGACTATTTTTGTCTCTAGGGTACTAAAGTTTAACGTATTAATATGTTATTAATTTTTTTAACCAGCTAGAACCTCCCCCTAAAGGAGGAAAATTATAAATACGATGTACATCGAAACTAACTCAACAATAATCTCCATCATTGAAAATATAATCGTGGTGGTACCCGGGCTATTAGTAGTAGCATATATAACAGTGGCCGAGAGAAAAACAATGGCAAGTTTCCAAAGAAGACTTGGGCCGAATGCAGTAGGTCTAATCTAATAATATCAACGTGGCCTTAGTTGAAGTGAACCTTTAGCTGAACATCATCAAATTGCGGGAAGATCTTAAAACTATTTTAACTAACTAAGTCTAGCGATAGAGCTTAGGGCACGGGTAGTGACTTGTGGTAAAGTAAAATCAATATAGATTAAATGGATAATTCGCAGCCAAACACTGACATATGCCCCTATTTTATATAATCAAATGTATAAGGGGTAGGTGGAGCCTCATGTTAGTGTGCTGTTCATCGACTAGAAGGTGATGGGCGTTCGGATTGACTTCTGAAACGCTTAAGATATAGTCAGACTCTACTTGAAAAAGTACAGGGTATCGAAAGAATATCTGTTAATTGGATATTGTAATTAATGTTACAGCTATTTAGAGGGAAAGTCCTATAATAGGATGAATTCGTATCTGGGATTACTCCAAGCCTTCGCGGATGCACTAAAGCTTATATTAAAAGAGTACGTATCACCTAATCAATCGAACAAAATTTTATTCTTTCTTGGGCCGATCTGTACATTATTTTTTGCTTTAGTGGGATTTGCCGTGATACCATATGCTCCGGGTCTATCTATTAGCGATATGGAGTATGGCTTGCTATATCTCTTAGCAGTGTCTGCTCTTAGTACTTTGGGGATTCTCTTGGCGGGATGAAGTGCTAACAGTAAGTATGCATTTTTAGGATCATTAAGAAGTACGGCCCAATTAATTAGTTATGAGTTAGTGTTAAGCTCTGTACTATTAATAATTATTTTTATTACGAACA